CTTGGACGTGCTCTGTCAGTTTTCATTCAAATTTGGCACATACATGTACTTTATACATGTTAGGATGCATGTCCATGACAATTTGTTTCAAAAGATGGCCGATTGACAGCCATCTGACTTTTTGGCCTTACTACTATATTTCCACAATTTATGTACCATTTTCATTTGTATTTGGCATATACATCATACATATCAGTGTGTTTCATGATCAGATCAAAGATAGCTGAATAACGGCTGTTTTTATTTTGGCCATATTACTATGACACGAAACACGTGTTTTGATATAAATAAACAATCTGCGACAACCCCTCCGCTTTAATATGACGAGCACAAAGAGAACTTAACGGGGACTGTGTCATTTTCAATGACTTGTATTATATGTTGTCACATGTGTACCACAAATAAGGCTGTAGTATATCATAATATGATGTTTAAATTCAGTTAATGTTATTGTGCTATGAATTCATTGGCTCTACTTCACCACTTAAAATGATTTCCCTCTTATTCAGGAGGAATTTCGTAGCCACTTCCGTAATATATCCAGAATAATGGATTGTGTTGGATGTGATAAGTGTAAACTATGGGGAAAATTGCAGGTAAGACACAATGTCCTTCAGGCTAGTTAAAACAAACATGTCTCACTTGACACTGTATTTGCATATTGATAGAAAAATTGTATTCGTTGTGAAACAACAACTGTAGCATAACAAGAGGAAAAGAAAATGTCTCGTAAACTAGCACGTGTACTTGTATCATGTCTTGTAGAGCTGTTAAATTTAATTGTTGCTTCACATATTAAATACTAACAATGTTATCTTCAGCATTACTATAAAAAAAATTATTTTAACTGGAATTAATTTTCGGTAGGAAGAAAGGTATTTCGCTGGATTTTATTCTCACTGAATCATTCCTTTAGCGAAAATTAATTCCAAGTAAAAATAAAGTATTTTCAGTAGCCTGTTTGCTCATCCTGTCTGCACTACAAGGTTCATCTTGTTATCACTGTTAGATGTTTTCAAGAAAAGAATCTGCTTGAATAATATAAATTAATAAATTCTTAGAAGATGAAAGCAATTTTCCAAAATATGTATAGCATAAAACTCTGTCCACAACTCCATTCTTAGCTACATAATACATTTTTTACTATACCATATTTGGCCTGGGTGATGTTTTGGAGGAATGGTCATATTTTGGGGCTAGTGCTGGCTCCAATACATCACCAGGACAATCTTTTGATGTATTCTTGTTATAACTGATATTTCTGTCTATTATAGTCTAAATATTCATGACAGGGGTTGCATTATACCAACATTTTTGCCAAACTTCAATCCAATTTTTTCTCTTTTTTTTCTTTCTAGACTCAAGGAATGGGTACAGCATTAAAAATATTATTTTCTGGCAATATTTATGACACAGTTACTGGTGAACCTGCATTTTCATTACGAAGAACAGAGATAGTGTCTTTATTTAATGCATTTGGAAGGTGAGAATACTGTAAATAGTGTTTGTAGATAATCTGCATATTATAATGTCTATAATGTCTATATCTGCGTATATTTGTCCTTGTATAACTGTAAATCAATTCATTTTCCAGTCTTTTTAAAACAGGGACTTATAATTCGGTCTCCGTGCATCTGTGTGTCCGTCCGGAGTCATATCTCAGAATCCCTTGGGCCGATTTCGTTCATTCTTTGCATGTGCCTAGTACTTTATGAGGGACATATGCACATGCAGTGGTTTAGCAATTCGATTCAAAATGGCTGACTGGCAGTCATCTTGTTTTTTGAAAATGTTGTATTTTGGACATGCTTTGTCAGTTTTCATTCAAATTTAGTACATAGATCACACATGTTAGGATACATGTCCATGACAATTTATTTCACAATTGGATCATAGATGGCCGATTGGCAGCCATCTTGTTTTTTGAAAATGTCATATTTTGGACATGCTTTGTCAGTTTTCATTCAAATTTAGTACATAGATCACACATGTTAGAATACATGTCCCTGACCATCTGCGAGTTCCTGAGTCTGTCCATCCATGTGTCCGTCTGTCCGTGCGTCAGTCTGTCCAGAATCATATTTCGGAATCCTGTGGACCCATTCTTTACATGTGCCTAGTACCTTAAGTGGGACATATGCACATGCAGTAATTTAGCAATTCGATTCAAAATGGCCGACTGGCAGCCATCTTGTTTTTTGAAAATGTTGTAATTTGGACATGCTAAATGTCAGTTGTCATTCAAACTTGGTACATAAATTATACATGTTAGGATACATGTCCATGACGATTTATTTCGCAATTGGATCAAAGATGGTCGACTGGCAGGCATCTTGTTTTGTTTTTTTATCGGTATCTTGGACATGCTCTGTCAGTTATGATTCAAATTTGGCACATACATGTACTTTATACATGTTAGGATGCATGTCCATGACAATTTGTTTCAAACTCTGGTCAAGGATGGCCGATTGACAGCCATCTGACTTTTTGGCCTTAATACTATATTTCCACAATTTATGTACCATTTTCATTCGTATTTGGCACATACATATCAGTGTGTTTCATAATCAGATCAAAGATGGCGGAATAATTGATGTTTTTATTTTTGGTCATATTACTACTACACGGAACACGTGTTTTGATGTAAATAAACAATCCTACACGGAACTCGTGTTTTGATGTAAATAAACAATCTGTTGTATATGCCACTTGGAACTCAAGTTTCAAGGACACGCTAGCAACAACCCCTCCACTTTAATATGACGAGCACAAAAAGAACTTTCAAAAATTTAACGGAGACTGTGTCATTTTCAATGACTTGTTGTTGTTTGGATTTGATGATATGTGTATGATACAAAGTTGCATTTCCATATATCGTAAAATTTGTATTAGAAGCCGCATCCCTAATAGAAGTCGCACCCATTCTTTTCGTACAATTGAGAATCAAACATTCACCATTCCTCATATGTGTAGATGCTCTAATAGAAGCCGCATTCCCTCTGTTGCATTGTACCATTTTAATAGAAGCCACAGTTTCTAATGCTAGTACTTTCAAATTGATTTCATATAATCGTATGAACTATAATAAAAACAAAGTAAAATTTCTTTTTTGGGCTTTGGGGCAGTTTTACAAATAAGTAATTCATATGTTTCATTTGCAGATTATCAAACAGTATTAAACTTTTAGAAGAAATACGAAACATGACAAAGAGATGAAAGGGTTTATTTGTGAAGATTATATGATCATATCATTTGTTATCAGATAATGTGCAATCAATTAGTGTCACTGCTGTAATCCAAAGCTGTTTTATTTAATATTTACAAGGTGAATGAAGATTCGGTTTAACCAATGTCGCACATGTTGAAAAACAAAAGGCTAGATCGCTTTGTTAATATATTCCTTTTCAGTGGGATAAACCTGTGTTCATATATTGCAGTGGCATTCACATCTATTCATGCCCTTACCATGGGGTTAAACCGTTAGAGACCATATTTATGTATGATTGTGGAATTCAGGGTCAAGATCAGCCCTCTGACTGTAAGCCCAGCTTCACCGGGTTAATCCTTTTACATGTATTTCAACTGTTGGTTTAATTAACTCTTAAGTCGAACCCAGCGTTTTGCTACATGTGTGAACACCCTACAGAATCATTCTATATTTCAATATTATAGTTTCAATTCATTTGTGCTATATCAAGAGATTTTTTGTATTTTAATTACGAATATTTAACCTCTGTATTCAAAACTGCTTGTATACTTCTATTTTCAAACTACAGTTCTATATTTGCCTGTATAGACTTTGTATAAATATCATGATGTAATAGTTTTAGAAATAAATGCTACATAATAAATTTTATCAAAAGTACACTTCCAATATAATGGTAGTGAATTCAGTCCTATTTTTCAATGTTATTTTTTACTCCCGTGTGCGAAGCTTAAAATGGGAGTCTTTGCAGTTAGTGTGTCTGTCTGTGTGTGTGTGTGTCTGTTCCACTGCCATCTCAAGAACCATACATTGATTTTTGATGAAACAATGCGCAGATTTGATTAGGTTTTGATAAAAACCCATGCATATTAATTACCTAATTTGCATGATAATTAGCTGATTTTTAGCTGTTCCACTGATATCTAAAGAACCACTCATTGGATTTTGATAAAACTTGGCACATAAATGCTCCAAACTAATGCAGATTTGATTAGTTTTGGGTAAAAATCTGTGCAATATTAATCGCCTAATTTGCATAATGATTAATCAATTTCCGGCTTTGAATTCCACTGATATCTCAAGTACATCACATTTCAATTAAATTTGCATAGATGTCATAGGTCACTGCGCAGACCTGATAGTTTTTAGGGTAATACAAATGTGCATAATTAATTAATTTTCAGCTTTTGATATTTCAAGTAGTAATCATCACATTTCAATGACACTTGGTACGGAGTTACTTAAGGGCTGTGCAGACCCCTGATTAGTTTTTGGGTAAATATTTGTGCATATTAATTACCTTATTAGCATAATTAGTTAATTTTCAGCTTTTTGTGTGATATCTCAAGTACTAATCATATTTCAATGAGACTTGCTACATAGATCTTCTAGGACTATGCAGAGACCTGATTAGTTTTAATTGGATATTAATTACCTAATTTGCATAATGATATATAAAGAACCAAAAATTGGATTTAATGAAACTTTTAAAGAGAACTATGCAGAGACTCAATTAGTTTTTGGTAAATATTTATGCTTATTAATCACCTAATTAACATAATATATTAACACTGATATCTCAATTACTGATCATCACATTTGAATAAAATTTGGTACATAAATGCTCTAGGACAATAGACAGGCCTGATTAATTTTGGGTTAAAATTTGTTCATATTAAATCTCTACCATAATTCATAATTTTTTGTATTGTTCATATTAGTTACTGATTT